GTCATATATTCCAAGACGTAGGCTAGAATCTGTGATTGCGAAGTACAATATCCACACCGGAGCGATGACTGACTGCCACACATACTCCTCAGAACATTCGATTCATTCGCTGGAGCTGTGCCGGAGTACAACCCATGCAAGGAAGATAATTCCGCACACAGCTGCAATTGCAGGTTTTCAAACCAAGGTGGCGACAAAGAGGCAAAATTTACGGACTGCAGTCTTAAATTTGAGTATTTGTATTTGTACACTACAGTTCAAAATTTTGGGGTTAGTAACATTTTTATTTATTATTACTATTTATTTATCTTGAAAGACTTTAATATTTTTATTCATTAAATTGATCAAAAAGTGATAGTAAGGCCTTTTACATTGTTAACATTGTTGTCAACATTGATAATAAATGTTTCTTGAGCAGCAAATCAGCATTTGCTCATTACAGTTATTTTAAACTGTAATAATATATTATTACAAAATATTACTTTTACAGTTTTCTTACTGTATTTTTGAACAAATAAATGCAGGCTTGGTGAGCAGAAGATACATTCTTTCAAATATATTAAAAAACTTACTGACCCTGAACTTTTGAATGGTGGAATTTTTGCATTGTGGCACATATGTGGTTTTAATTTTAGTAATTTTATTTGACCACTACAGTTCAATGTTTTTGGATCCGTAAGATTTTTTTTATTTTTGAAAGAAATTGGTACTTTTATTCAATAAGCATGCATTAAATTGATCAAAAGTGAAAATCCTGAAATCTTGAAAAAAAGGTTTCACAAAAATATTAAGCAGCTCAACTGTTTTCAACATTGATAATAATAAGATTTTTTTTCTTGTGCATCAAATTTCTGAAGGATCACGTGACACTGAAGACTGGAATAATGATGCTGAAAATTCAGCTTTACCATCACAGGAATAAATTACATTAAAACTTAATGTATTTTTTTTTAAATTGTAATAATATTTTACAATATAAATTTTATATTATATTAATAATGATATATTAATAATTAATTTCTAATATATATATATACTAATAAATATTATATATATATAAGTAATCTACTGTCATTTTTAATCAAATAAATGCAGCCATGGTGGGGATAAAAGACTTCTTTCGAATCTTTTAAAAACATTAAAAAAAAAATAAATAAAATAAATAAACTTCTTACTGGCCCCAAACTTTTGAATGGTAGAATATTTTTATATTTTGGGAAATAAATGTTTATTTACTTTAAGCTATTTTATTTTTAGATTTCATGCATTTTTATTAAATTATATTATATACACAGTGAGGACCATAAATGAAAAATCTATATCAGTTGATCACAAGTAACAACATAAAAACATGTTCAAAGAAAAGATGTGGCAATGAATGAGTGTGAATACTTATGACATATTGCATAATTTTTTTTGGGAAAAAATAAAATAAAATAACATTTTAACAATCATGTTTAGGATGGGACCAGAACACTATCTCCGCAGCCCAATGCAGATATTAAGATTCCTTCCACATCACAGTCTCCTGTGAACATGGGTTATTCACGACAACCGTGAGTACTTCTACAGAACATCGTTCATTACTACTGACCTAATTCAAGCAGACAGAGAAAGATCATTTACATTTATTAATTTTATGATTGTTTAAAGGGATAGTTAAGTAAAAAAAAACATCTCTTTATTTACTGGCCATCTTGCTGTGAAAGAAAGTCATGAGGTTTAGAATGACATGAAGGAGAGTAAAATATGACAGTGTTTATTATTGTGTGAACTGTCCCTTTAAGAAACATATCCAGGGTTAATCCAGCTACTGATTTCATCCTTTACCATTTGTAATTCTTTTTCATTAACTTTTTCTCTTTGCATTCAGGTATAAAGCAGTTTACAACTATAAACCCCAGAACAGAGACGAGCTGGAATTGAGAGAGGGAGACATCGTTCAGGTCCTAGAGAAGTGTGATGACGGCTGGTTTGTAGGTAAGTTTGCTTCACTTCACAGCTTATTCCAGCCAACAACTGACGACTTAAACAAGATACTGTATGTGCTTTTTGACAGACAAGTAAAGAGATCAACCATGGGGATGTATGATATATTGGTACCTTATTGATAATCATATCATAATTTTATATTTGATAATTATATTTTGATTATTGCAATGCCTAAATTGGCTTCAAGCATTTAAAACTATTGGTGTTATTTTTAGTGTACAGGATTGTAGGGGCAGGTTAATCTGAAATAGACAATAATAGTATTAGTATATTGCACATATGTGGTTTTAATTTTAGTAATTTTATTTGACCACTACAGTTCAATGTTTTTGGATCCGTAAGATTTTTTTTATTTTTGAAAGAAATTGGTACTTTTATTCAATAAGCATGCATTAAATTGATCAAAAGTGAAAATCCTGAAATCTTGAAAAAAAGGTTTCACAAAAATATTAAGCAGCTCAACTGTTTTCAACATTGATAATAATAAGATTTTTTTTCTTGTGCATCAAATTTCTGAAGGATCACGTGACACTGAAGACTGGAATAATGATGCTGAAAATTCAGCTTTACCATCACAGGAATAAATTACATTAAAACTTAATGTATTTTTTTTTTAATTGTAATAATATTTTACAATATAAATTTTATATTATATTAATAATGATATATTAATAATTAATTTCTAATATATATATATACTAATAAATATTATATATATATAAGTAATCTACTGTCATTTTTAATCAAATAAATGCAGCCATGGTGGGGATAAAAGACTTCTTTCAAATCTTTTAAAAACATTAAAAAAAAAATAAATAAAATAAATAAACTTCTTACTGGCCCCAAACTTTTGAATGGTAGAATATTTTTATATTTTGGGAAATAAATGTTTATTTACTTTAAGCTATTTTATTTTTAGATTTCATGCATTTTTATTAAATTATATTATATACACAGTGAGGACCATAAATGAAAAATCTATATCAGTTGATCACAAGTAACAACATAAAAACATGTTCAAAGAAAAGATGTGGCAATGAATGAGTGTGAATACTTATGACATATTGCATAATTTTTTTGGGGAAAAAATAAAATAAAATAACATTTTAACAATCATGTTTAGGATGGGACCAGAACACTATCTCCGCAGCCCAATGCAGATATTAAGATTCCTTCCACATCACAGTCTCCTGTGAACATGGGTTATTCACGACAACCGTGAGTACTTCTACAGAACATCGTTCATTACTACTGACCTAATTCAAGCAGACAGAGAAAGATCATTTACATTTATTAATTTTATGATTGTTTAAAGGGATAGTTAAGTAAAAAAAAACATCTCTTTATTTACTGGCCATCTTGCTGTGAAAGAAAGTCATGAGGTTTAGAATGACATGAAGGAGAGTAAAATATGACAGTGTTTATTATTGTGTGAACTGTCCCTTTAAGAAACATATCCAGGGTTAATCCAGCTACTGATTTCATCCTTTACCATTTGTAATTCTTTTTCATTAACTTTTTCTCTTTGCATTCAGGTATAAAGCAGTTTACAACTATAAACCCCAGAACAGAGACGAGCTGGAATTGAGAGAGGGAGACATCGTTCAGGTCCTAGAGAAGTGTGATGACGGCTGGTTTGTAGGTAAGTTTGCTTCACTTCACAGCTTATTCCAGCCAACAACTGACGACTTAAACAAGATACTGTATGTGCTTTTTGACAGACAAGTAAAGAGATCAACCATGGGGATGTATGATATATTGGTACCTTATTGATAATCATATCATAATTTTATATTTGATAATTATATTTTGATTATTGCAATGCCTAAATTGGCTTCAAGCATTTAAAACTATTGGTGTTATTTTTAGTGTACAGGATTGTAGGGGCAGGTTAATCTGAAATAGACAATAATAGTATTAGTATATAGTATTATGTAGAATATTATGTAGAATACAAATTACAAATACAAAAAAAGACTGCTGCATTTATTTGATCATCCTTGCAGAATAAAAATAATATTTGTTTTTTACAACTACAAAATCTTACTGAACCCAAACTTTTGAAAAGTATTGAATATAGATTATTTCACAAGATAATCACTCAAAAGTCAAAGTGGAATATACAGTTCTACTCATGGACATACAGTATAGTAGCAAAACTGAAAAATGTATCTTTAAGAGCAGTCTCGGTGCCAGACCTTCCCTGTGCCGCCCTCTATTGGCCGATTCTCACATTGCAACAATGTCATTTACCATAATATGCTATCAAAGAGGTAGCTGTTTTGTGCCAGAAGTTTTCTTGCTTAAATGACATTGTATTTTTCTTTTCCTGTCAGGTACGTCTGAAAGGACCCAAGCTTTTGGAACATTCCCTGGCAACTATGTGGCACCATTTTAAGAGCTTCCACCAATTCTCACTGACACTACAGGCTCAACCACTAATCAATGCACAATACCGTCTGTCTGTACCACTGTACAGTATATACAAAACCACTGCCCTCTTCACACACACACACATATCAAAACGTCACATCCTCCACTAAGCATGTGCACTCTTCTGCTTACAGTATCTCTCACAGATGTTGGACACAGCTGGGTTTGACCACTCACGTGTAATGAAGCCACACTACATTATGCTTGGAAGATCCTTACATTTATTTATAGTTTTCCACAATGCTATTGACATTATCTAAGATGACTTACTCAATTTTAACATCTTTGTAAAGTTTACCTCCATTTTGGTTTCAGATTTGTAGCAACATTGCCCTTGAACACTACATATCCTGAGGATCTGGATGTGAGACATGGTTAAAACCGTCCGTCTTTTTTGAACGCTCATCACAGTTGTCATTGATCGCCACATCATTTTAGAAACACAACCGCAGTTTTAGCAGTCATTATCAAGTGTCTGTAAGCGCTTAGTGCAGTTGTCTCCAAGTGTTTAATCTGACGTTAATTGTGTAACAAACCCAGCATGCCATTCTCTTAAGCTTTAGGACAGGGAAAGTGTTGCCACTTTTAAACTCTTTTGTATGAGTCTCCTGCTTAGTGAAAAATCAGTTAGGGTTTGATTTTTTTTATGGTGGGTTCCAGCCAGACTAGATTAAGCATGGTTTTTGACTCTATATGTGACCCTGGAACACAAAACCAGTCTTAAGTCGCTTGGGTATATTTGTAGAAATAGCCAAAAAAAACATTGTATGGGTCAAAATTATCGATTTTTCTTTTATGCCAAAAATAATTAGGATATTAAGTAAAGATCATGTTCCATGAAAATATTTAGTAAACATCTTACCGTAAATACATCAAAACTTCATTTTTGATTTATATCAAAACTTAATTTTTGATTAGTAATATGCATTGCTAAGAACTTCATTTGGACAACTTTAGAGGCGATTTTCTCAATATTCTGACAAACCACACATCAATAAAAAGCTTATTTATTCAGCTTTTAGATGATGTATAAATCTCAATTTCAAACAATTGACCCTTATGACTGGTTTTGTGGTCCAGGGTCACATATTAGAATGATTTAAAACCATATTCAACTGAAAATGTTAATTAATGCAGGATCAGTCTTCAGGATCAGTAGAACATCATATGATTTGCATGTATATTCATTCACAAGAAAAAAACACATATTAGAATGATTTAAAACCATATTCAACTGAAAATGTTAATTAATGCAGGATCAGTCTTCAGGATCAGGATCAGTAGAACATCATATGATTTGCATGTATATTCATTCACAAGAAAAAAAAAAAAACATAAGCAGTATTTTGTCTTGTTCTCCAGTAAAAATGACTAAACAAGAGTAATTTACTTTAAGGAGCAAAATTGTATAATGTTAAATTTCAGAGAATATATCTTAACCTAAGTTTTTATATGTTTTACATATGTGATGTTTTTCTTGTTTTATAAGCATTAATATTATGTTTTTTTTATGCTTACAACAAGAACTAAAAATATAACATAAATCATGAGCTCTTGTGATTTTACAGGTTGAAAATGACACTTTAAAATGAAGTCAGCTTGTGTTTCTTATGTCAAAGAACATGTGCACAGGTTTTAAGACAGGAGCCGGAGGACTTTTTACTGGTGGTTTATGTTGGCTATTAAAATGGTTGTGGAAGATACCGGTATTCATTGAACTCCATCATTAACTCACTTTGTCTTCTGTTTTTAATTTTCTGGGAACTCAAGTAGCTGACTGCAATATATAAAATTAGGGTGAACTGCATGGGACAGTTTTTGCTAGATTTGTAATATATTATTTTTCGTAGCGTTTTTTAAATAATTTTTAAATTAAATAATTTAAATCTATATGAATTTTGTATAATTGTATATTTAGTATAATTTGTATATTTTCTGCATTTATTTGATCAAAATACAATAAAACGGTCATTTTTATGAAATTTTCGTACAGTTTTCAGCAGCCATTACTCCAGTCACGTGATGCTTCAGAAATCATTCTAATGTTATGCTTACAACAAGAACTAAAAATATAACATAAATCATGAGCTCTTGTGATTTTACAGGTTGAAAATGACACTTTAAAATGAAGTCAGCTTGTGTTTCTTATGTCAAAGAACATGTGCACAGGTTTTAAGACAGGAGCCGGAGGACTTTTTACTGGTGGTTTATGTTGGCTATTAAAATGGTTGTGGAAGATACCGGTATTCATTGAACTCCATCATTAACTCACTTTGTCTTCTGTTTTTAATTTTTTGTTGTACATATTGTTGAATCGTTATCAAACAGTTACCAAATAATGGAAAAAAGATAATATATTTTTATTGCCACACAATGTATTGCAGTATCTAAGGTACTCACAGATTTTGATATTGATCAAATAAATAATGAAAAACATTGGTTTGCTTGTTACTTTCACTATTCAAATCTTTATGATTTTCTTCATAGTCCGGTCTGAAGACTAAATGCCTGGCAGCACCTGCTACAGTAAATGCTTCTGTTGCTATTCACACGCTGTCTTTCATTAGTCAACACACCTGCTTGTATGCAACAAATGAAATAATTAGTCTTGAGAACATGATGACAGATATATTTGAGTGAAAATGCCAATGTCATATAGCTCATAATGCCTTAATTTTCCAAAACACTGACGCAGAACAACTCACTCCTAAACCAGACGGTTTCATCTGATAATGAGTTTTGAGATTGTACTGTTTGACAACGCCAAATGAAAAATAAAGCATGTTACAAAAACAGCCAAATGAAAAATAAATAAAATAATAAAAAATAAAATAATTTTTTTCTTTTCAATTCTTTAATGAATAGAAAGTTCAAAAGAGCAACATTTATTTGAAATATAAATAGAAATGTCTTTACTGTCACTTTCGATCAGTTCCACGTGTCCTTGCTGAATAAAAGTATTGATTTCTTTTATTTTAAGGCGATTTTAGAATCTTAACTTTAAACTTGAATAAATAAGATTTTCTCATTATTGATCACCGCCAGCAGGTGGCGCACTGGCACAGAGTGTTATAGAGATTTGCTTTTAAAATCATATTTCTATTTCTCCCCACCTTCTCGACACGCCCCGCGGTCCACCCTCGCGTGCGCACCCCAGCCGTTATTTTGACAGCGACACGTGGCGTGTGAGTGGAGAGCATCATCTCCACAGCGGAAACATTCTCGGGAAAAGTTCGGAAAAAACTGGGCGGTGTGGGAATTTGGTCACATGGAGCGCGCAGCCTAAAAACTGAGGCGCTGAAAGTGTTTGAATCAGGTGTGCGTTAGGAAGCGGACAGAGTTTGTGACAGAAGAGCAGCGACTCTCTCTCTCTCTCTCTCTCTCTCTCTCGCTCTCTCCGCGCTCAGACAGGACGCGTGCGTGTTTTTGACGTCACCCGCACAGGTGCCTCACGCAGAGTTGGGATTACTCCTAACCGCGCGCGCCAACGCTTTACCAGGTAAGTGCTTATTTTCCTTAATATTCGAACTAAATATGTAGCGTTACTGGGCTGTATTTGTTCCGAAGTGATATCTATACTCATCATCAGGTGAGGCGTGAGAAACATGGCATCAGTTCAGCATCCTTTAGTCTTTCACTGTCACTTTTGCTGAAAAGCCTGACTGTCCCACGCAGAAATGAGCGAAAAACGGAATGTTTCAGCTTGTTTAAGTGATGAAAAGGATCTAATGTGTCATTAGAATCGACACAACAGCTGTAACACTGCAGCTCAATTCAGAGGAGCCTCTAGTCCTCCATCACTCATTTCAGTGTGATACTTTATTTATTGTTTTCAGAACACATTTTTTAGCAAAACATAGTGAACCAAACCATTAGGGAAAGTAAACTAGACAAAAAGTAAAATGAAAGGAGGTTCAGACAGTGTATTTGTCTTGCACATTATATGGTCACAAAGGCCAAAGGGAACAAATGAGACTAGGTGGGTTTGAACTCCGGTGCTCTTCACATGATGGTCAAAAATGACCGAATTTTTTTTATTTGTATAATTTAAATGAAATGAATGTACTATGTTTTAGTTTGATATTTTATTATTTAATATTTTAGTGTTTTTAGGGTTTTTTGTGGTACTAAATTGTTTATGCAGTAGTTATACTAGTCCATGTATTGCCTGTTAACCACTTTTTGAGCAGACCTGAAAATGACATTTCTAGCTTGAACTGTCATACATTCTGAATGCTTTGGAGCACAGACTTAAGTTTGGTCTCATCTTAAAGAAGACACTTGGCTGATTATTGCTTAAGTTAAAGTGAAATAAAGAAAGTCATAAGTTAAATTATGAAAAATTCACAAAAATACTATTTTCGTATTTTATATGAAATGTATATTTTCCAAAACATGTTTTACTCTAAAACTGCGAGAAAATCAAAGCCATAAATCTAAACAAGTTGTGTTCCACATTTGAGGTTGATATCTCTGAAATTGAGTACGATCTTGTTAGGGTGCAGTACCAAATGTTTCCCAGTGGCGTCATTTTAGACAGTTTAGGAGTATGACTGTTTTTTTTCTTTTTTTCAGGACCATTTAACCTTTTTGAACCAAGCTCTTTTTTTTCACATGGCAAGTGGCAAAACATTTACCAAGTTTCGTACCATTCCGCTTAAGTAAAAAAAAATCCAAAAAACGAATATGTAAAGTTTTTGGGTCAAAATGACCAAAGAGCACCAGAGGGTTTTAAATATGTTGATGGAGGTCCTAATGGAGAGAGGAAAACTTTGGGACAGCCTTACACTTCAAACATGAGTTCAGAAAATAGACCGATGCTATTCCATATAAAGCTTTAAAACATGTTACATTAGAATGAAATCAGAATTGAGACCAGATGATGAGAGACCAGAATACAGTAGTTAGTGTAATGTACATTAAGAGATTCAGTAACTGGAAACACTTGATTTTGTGTGCTTATGATGCTCAAAAATGTTGTCCAGGTAGGGCAGCTCCTTTGCAACTTCAGGGATCTTATCTATTCACAATCAGCTTGTAACACTCCAAAGAGAAAGGAAAACTTGAAATCGCATCATATGACCCCTTTAAGATGCATACTTCTGCTTGATAGTAGCCTTTAAATAGACTGTGATTCATAAGTGCATGTACAGTACACAGTTGTTTTTGATATTTTGAGGGTATGCAATGGATTTTTTGATGCATGCTGGTTGGGGTTTTTTGCCCCGGGACAGACTGGAATGTTTTGGATTCAGTTATGCAGAAGAATGTGAAAAGTTACAGATTAAGGCGTCAACACTGTCCAAACCCACATGGCCAGACTCAGAAATGAATAAATGTCTGACTCATCAGAAGTTACTTTAAAAATCACCAGTTTCTACCAGTTGCTCCTTTATTGTTGCTGTAGCACAGCTCTCTGTAGGTTTGAAGTGAGCAGAATGCAGTTTCGAGGCTGGGCACTGAATGTGAGTGATGACTGAGCAGTACTTTTGAATTGATGGGAAAAAGCCAGACGTGTGTGTCTATGCATTGACCAAACCCATTGAGAGAGCTTTTGTACCTCTCTATTGTCTCCACCTGTGCAATTCTTCACATCCCTCAATTTTAGCTTCTCCCTCACTAGTATTTTTTAACTTCCATCACTCCAAAACACCCATTCTTCTCATTCATGTTTTAATTTTCATGCTTTTTTGTTATAACATTTACTGGCACTGTAAACAATAGTGTGAATAAGCAAGTATTAACACAT